CACCCAGCCCAGAGCCCAGGAGTAGCTCGGCTCCTTGGAAGCCCTGTTCCCTGAAGGTCAGCGGAGGGGGTTTAGTGAAGCAAGAAGGTGGTGGAAAGGAGGAACCCTCTGAAGGGCCCCAAAAGATGGAGCTCTTGGATCTCAACCATCCCCCTCTCTGGGCCTCATGGGGCACTTGTAGCTAAAAGTGCTGAGAGAAACAGAAACATCGCAGTCAATATTCCTTAAGTGTCAGTGCTATGAAAAGTGCCACCCGCGCTCCCCCGTCCCCTTCGCTCCTCCGGTCCTCCCTTCTAGATAGACACAAGTAGTGTTTCCATTTTAGGCTAAGAAATTGAAACTTTGGGCCTGGGGTGAGCTCCCCCCGCCCAACGTCAGGGTTGCCTTTGGCGGTCTCCAGAGCCTGGCATCCTACCAACAATACCCAGGGACACCCAAGTGGACCCTGTCTCCTGTGCGCTGTCCATCGTTTGTCACCTGTGGGCCTGGGCCAGTGCAGGAAGCAAGCCGTGGCATAAGGGACCATCCAGAGCGAGAGCTCACGGGAGGGGGAAGGTGGTGGTGCCGGGCGGGCTGGGGGCCAATTCTCTCTAAGCCAGGCTTTCTTCTCCGCCAGTGCCCCACCCAGCCGCGCCCGTGCCCACTGCTGCCAGAGCCCAGAGGTTTCCTTTTTCTTTTTGCCTAAGGCTGTCTCCTGCCTTTCCTTTGAACTGGGGTGTCAGCTCCCCCACACAGTCACTCTCCCCCAGCAACCCCCCAGGCTCCTTCAACAAGGGAGGGCCCTGGGGACACCACTTCCTGGAATTACTCCACCCCTCCTTTGCTCTCTCCTCTCCGCATTGGTCTGGGTGCTGTCTGGCTCTCCCCCTCCTTCCCCGATTTCCCACCCACTGCCAAGCCCTCTCACCGAGCTCACCCTGTTCCACACCGGCGTAGCGGAGGACCCTGGGTTTCTCTGCCTCTCCTTTTCTACTTTGCAGCCAAATGTGGGGCACAGAAATCCAGAGAACCCCGGGGACTTAGCTAGGGTCTCCCACCCACAGAGGGATTCGGGGTTGGAACTTGCGTACCCGGGCTTCCCAGCGAAAGTATGTCGGCTCAGAGTCTGCTGGAGAGGCAGCAGAGGCTTGACCAGGAAGGGAGCCTGGGAGATGAGGAAGAGAGCTGACAGTAATACCCCAACACACGCTCCCGGGGTCCAATGCTCCCCGACTGAGGCCACATGGTCTTCTGCTTGCTCACCGGACAGTCCTCTGTGGGCCCTGCCCGGCAAGCTGGAGGGCAGGCTAGGCTCTTCCCTTGGTCCCTCTCTCCCATTGCATGAAGCCAAGACTGTACCAGCAGCGAAGGGGCAGCAGTGAAGCTGTCCTGGTCCTTGCCAGTGACTCTCCTGCCATGGCCCTCAACACACAGAGAGACTTGCCCTACAACTCTCGTAGAAGGCTGCTTCTCCCCTTTCCAGTGCTAGCCCAGGGCCTCCTCCTCCTCCAGGAAGCCTTCCAAGAAATCTGCCTCCTGACTCTGGCTCCCTAATGTCAACACTAACTCTGTTCTTGCCACCCTACAGACCCTCTACCAAACCCACTGCAGATGCTACCTCAGTGAATCCACACACGTATTAGCTTCACTTATAGATGGGGAAACCAAGTCACAGAGATGCCAACAAACCCACTCAGGCTCACCTAGCACAGCCTTTTACACCAATGCCCATCCTGAACCCTTCTGTTCTGTTCTTCCAATACCCTGCCTCCATCTGTCTGGCTGCAGACATAGCCAGGCAGTGGTGAGGAATGCCAATTACCCTGAATCTACCTACACACAGGTGTGTGCACACACACCCTCACACACACACACAAGCGTGCTCATGCACACACGTGCACACCTGACCTTTCACACAAATCCTGTAGTTATCACGGCCGCTTGAAGGGAGCGAATTCCCAGAAAGCAGTGAGCAGTCAGGCACAGACCGAAAGCCCTGGCAAGCAGTGAGGAAAGAAGTGGGTGCTTAGGGGCAACCACCATGTCGGAGTCCGAGTGTTTACAGCCAGAGCAACAACCATGTTTCCAGAACACTCTCCCCAACACTTCTCAGCACTGGGGGGACTCCATGTAAATCCCCAGATTCCCCTACTCAGGCTCTGTTTGCTTAGCAAGCATTTGCTGCATGTGTATTTCTGTGTTCCTATGTGCTGGGTAGCACAGGGACACTTCTCATTCACAACGCCACAAACTGCAGTGCCCTAGAGCCAGGGGCTCCATCCTCCCCTCCATCCCTTTCCATAAGGCGCCTTGTGCAGAAGACACACAAAATCCAGCACATTTCACTGAGTCTCTCGCTCCATTGAGGGTGTGGGAAGCCTTTCTAAAGACATCTGAAGAACTGTGTATAAATGACTCCTAACTTTGATCAGACAGGGCTGGCACTGGGCCCCAGAGTGCTCATGAGTTTTGGACTTGTGTATCAAATAAATAGAAATAAAGGCTTTCTGATCTCCCCTGAAATTGGAATGGAAGGAGGTGGAGGCAGCCACTTCATGACAAGTACAGGTTAGGAAGGAATCTAACTGTCTTGGGGTGGAAAGCAGATATCAAGTAATTTATACTGAGATTCTTTCAAGGAAGCCATTAGAGGAACCAGCGGTGTCCTCTATGGCCCACAGGCAAGTCCTAAGACTGCCAAGAAGGGAAGGAGCCCCAAGATATCCCTGGCCTGGCTCCTCGAGGTTCATCTCTCCCTACCTTCAAATGCCTTTGCAGAGCCTGGGGCACGGAGAGCTCAGAACAATAATATATTTGATGCATAGGCCTGAAGACCCTGATTCCTAACCCCAGAAGCCATGCAAATGAGTGGCCATGGAGGTGGGCACTTGTGATTCCAGTGTGGAGCAGCGAAGACAGATCCCTGGGACTACCTGGCCAGCCAGCCCAGATCACTCAGTGAATGCCAGGTTAGTAAGGCACTGTCTCCGAAAGACATGTAGACAGCTCCTGGAAAGTGATGCCTAGGTTGACCCTTGACCTCCACACACATTGCACATGTACCTGCATACACATGTACACTGACACAGATCCAAACACACACACACGATATACAAAATGTCCTTGCAGTTCTCCTAAGGAAGCAAAGAAAGAAGACTTCATCTCTGAGCCCTGCAGACAGCAGATGCCCCTCCTCCATCACCCACCTGGGACCCCTGCACAGCCAAGGCCAGAGAGACAGTCTGCTCCACCTCCCTCCAACACCACAGATATTGCCATACCATTCCCTACATCACCACCGGACCCAGCACGTCCTTCTGCCCTCAGACACACTCTTAAGCCTTAGAATAAAAGAATTTCCTTAACACCTAGGAGGGCTCAGGAAGAGCTCAGAAACCCTCACCTCCTCTAACCCAAAGATGCCTCACATCAGAGGGCACCAGGTCAGAGTGCCAGGGAGCTGCTGTCAGTGTGGACAGTCGGACACTTAGATTCCCAAAGTGAAACTCTTTTCCTCTACCCCCAAGTCCTGCCAGGAAGAGGCCCACAGATTAATAGAGAATATCTTGCATGCTGGAAGGTGGCCTGACCTGCCAGCCTCTGGAAGGGCCTGTATCCTCTGCCCCTTTCACACAGGCAAGGGGTCTCTCTTCTGCTGTCCCAAAAGAAGGCTCAATAGAAGTTATTTCTAAACTCCTTTTGGCCATCAGCCCTGTCTTCCAACAAGACAATGGCACAGATATCTAATATGTAAAACTGATAGAAATGGGGGCTTCTGGAGGGCACTGCAGGAGTGGGCCAGAGCCCCTGTACTCTGGTGCTGGGGTACCCTCCGCTCTGCTATGCATTCCTGTGCTCACCTCTCCCTTCACCCTCTAGGCTGGACAGGACTTGGTTTGCCCTTTTGAATTAGGGGTACTTTTCATTCCTCACTCCCTTGAGCACACAACTGTGTTTTTGGAGTGACAGAGAGTATTCAAATGGGGGCTGTAGAGATAGAAAAAAAAAGCCTCATAGGGGCTCACAGGATCCCCACACTCACCAGGACACTGCTGATCTCAGTGCACCCTGGCCACTTGCTGAGACTTTTGGTACAAGCCCAACTCCCTCTTCCTTGGCACTATCAGTTCTAGGACCCCAAAGATGAGAGCGCCTCTCCCAGGCCTGAGGGAGCTCTGGGAATCCTACCCAGGCTTTTCCACCTGTTTGCCTTCCTCTGAGGGAAAGCAGGGAAGGGCAGAGGTTTCCTCCTCTGGGAACAGGGGTGGAAGCCAGGTGGTCTGGGATGTGCCCCCACTCTCTCCTGCCCAGGTAGGGAGCAGCTACAGCCTCTGGTTCTTTGATTCTGAGACAGCTACCCCGAATAGGGTCCCCTTCATAGATCATCTCACCCCAACACAGACTCTAAAAATGTTTCTCTGGTTTTCAGTCTCAGAGCCTGCCCACAAATTAGTGTCTCTAACTCAGCCTCCAGGGACATGACTTCAGGGAGGCCTGGGGAGGGGGCAGGAGACCTCCACACAAGAAGATAGTTCCGACAAAATCCCTTTCTAAAGAGAGCTGGTGTCAAGGACCCCTCAAGAAGGCCACCTGCCTCAGTGGGACAGTTCTTGCCGTGGCAGAGGAACCTGTTTCCACTCTACTGGGGCACACTCCCCTCTCCTCAGACTTATGCCTTCATCAACCCTCCTGGACACTCTTCTGCTGGGGAAGACAGCTAAGGAAGAGACTCCCCCGCCCCGTGTTCCCCCATTTTCTTGCTCAGAATTCACAGCCCACTTTGCCAGGCCTGGATTCCAACACTGAGCCTATGAGGGTGGGGAGCACCTGGGAAAGAGCAGAGAGGCTCGGGCTCACTCCTTGCCTTGCCCTTAGTTTCCTAAGGACTCTCCTCTGCTCCCCAGTCCTTCAGTCTTAGAGGGAAAGATCCCTCCTGGGATGCTCTTGTCCCAGGGCACCAAACCGTGTTTGTTGGGTAGGCAGCCATCAGGAATAGCAGGAACAAGCAGGTGAGTACTCACAGGTAAGCCGTCAGGGGGTCCAGGTCCCCTGGCACCACTGAGAGCCCAAGCTCGGAGCAGTCAGCTGACAACATGATGCCATCCTCCTGGCAATGGCAGGGAGTAGGACAGGCGGGACGCCCTGGGCCAGGCTGGGGGTCGCTGCCTGCAAGCACCGAGGCGCACAGCACAGCGCAAAGCCACAGCGTCAGGAGCCTCAGCGGGCTGTGCATCTCGGCGGCGGGCGGCGGGGGCACCTGGCGGGCGCTCGGGCGGGCGGGAGCGCAGAGCAGTGAGCGCGCGGCTCACCTCCTGGTCCCGGGCGGGCCCGAGGGCTGCGCCGTCGGTGGGACCGCCCTCGCTCTACTTGGCTTGGGTGCGGCGGCGGCAGCAGCGGCGGGACGGTGCAGTCAGAGAGGGGCAGGCATTGTTGAGTGATCTTCGTTATTCAGTTTCACAGGCTGGGCTTGGCAAGGGAGGGAGACACGGGAGGGGGGGTGGGAGGAGGAGTCAAGGAAACTTTCTACGCGGTGACTCGCTCCCCTTCCCTCCTTCCTTCTCGGCTGGCAGGATTTCATCCAGGGGGTTGGGGAAGACGAAGAAACCGAAGAAACCCAAAGCTAGGACCAGTCAGCACATAGGAGACTAACACTTGTTGGGAAAGGGTGACCCAGAGCCCCCCAGGCTCAACTGTGGGGTAAAATTCCTCTTGACTTTGGGAACAACCATGGGCTCTCAAGGGACCAGAGAAGGCCTTCAGGAAAAGACCTCTGAGTTCCACAGACACCAGTACCACTACTAGATTTTATGTTGAAGGGAAGAGAGACCCGAGAGAAAGAGATGTTCGAGGTCACACGACTGATGGGGACAGCCTCGGAACTAGCGCTCAGGTCATTCCTCTGCATCCTAACCTGACCAGGGGAGGAAGGAGGTCCTAAGCTGAATGGTTCCTTGTAGGTTGGCGGTTGGAATGAGGAGGGAGCCCTCGTTGAGGAACCACGCCCTGACACAAAGAAACTGAAGTGGATTCTACCGGCTGCGTAGGGCATGGTTATGAGCTCGTGCAGGCTGTCAGATCTGAAGTCTGAAGATCACCTTGATCTCTGGACCCAGGATCTGTGGGCTGCCTCTGGTGGCCACAGCTGGTTGCCAGAGCTTGCCAACGAGTCGGTGGATTGGCGCCACCTGGAGGCTCAGTGCTACAGTTGCAGCTACGCCACCTAAGGGTCCAATTCCTTCCATAATCCATCCCAGGACCTTGGAGAGCAAGGGAAATGAAGGCTAAATCTCAAGACCCTGTTCTCAGGCTACACTGGATTTAGTGGTGCTTTCTTCATGTGTCCTTTCACTTTCTCTGGTTTCCAGATCTTTCTCTGAGTCAAGTCCCAGGGTAGAACTAGGTCAGGTTGGAACCCTTTTTGCCCTGACTCCCTATGGTCCACACCAGAAACAAGAGGACCCCAAAGGAGCCAAGATGCCGTCCACACTTCACTTCTATACTCAAAACATTCTCATCAATCCCTCTCCATCCTTTATGGATACTCTGGGACTGATGAGGAGAGAGTCGCACTCTCAGATCAAGAAACCAGAAGAACTCTACTTCCAGGACGCCTTGATTGATAAAAGTGGAAAACGAGCCCCTAGGAAGGTCACAGAAAGGTCCTCCTTGGCCATGCAAACCTGTAGACAGAAGCCCCCTCCCCCCATATTTCCCATCTCACTTATCCCATGCCTTCACCTTGGCTCTACCTACCTACACACACACACACACACACACACACACACACACACACACACATTCCCACCCATAATGCTTCAGGCCTCCTGGCAAGGCTGAAAAACCACACTTGGGCCTCATTCCACCCCTGTAGCAGCCCTCTGAAGTGGGCTTGGGTAGCTCAGAGCTGAGTTTCCAGCCTGCCCATGGAAGGGTCAGCCAGGGGCCAAGTCCTTGGACTCCTGAGAGTTACAGAACTGAAAAAAACATTGCTATTCAGTCCTTTTAGGGGCACCAGTGCCCAGTCTCACTTTGGGAACACTCCTGGATAGCAGAAAGCCTCACTTTAAAAAGTCACACTTATCTTACGTACGGGTAGTGTGGGCACATATGCTGTGGCACATAGCGTAAGTGTGGAGATCAGAAAACAACTTGTGAGGGCCAGTTCTCTCCCTCTACCGTATGGGTTCCAGGGATTGAGCCCAGCTTGCCAGGTTTGGCACCAAGCACTCTTACCTGTTGAGCATCTCAACAGCCCAGCCCCACTATTTTGTTATTTAGCTTTTTGCTTTTGTTTCTTGTAGTCAGGGTCTCCCAAGCTGGCCTCAAACTCATAGCCTTAAATTCTGGTCCTCTTGTCTTCACATCCTGAGTGCTGGGATTATAGTCACAGGCTACCATGAATTTATGTGGCACTGGGGATCAAACCCCGTGTTTCATGCCTACCAGGCGAGGATTCTACAAGCTGACCCCTCCCAGGACCCCAAAAGCTTTTATTCCACTTCTTCACCCAGGCCTGGGAAGGACCCTCTCAGACCCTCTGCTAACCCCTTGCACACTGCTAAGAGCCAGGTTGGCCAATGAGAACCCTGGCCACTCCCCCATGGACAGGATAGGGAGCTAAATCCATTTAAAGGAGCACTGCTGTGGTTGGGTCAGGCATGCTTTGTGTCCTTCCAAATAACCTCCTCCTGCGGCAATCGATGCCAATCCTCAGGCTCCCTGCCATTGGAGTCTGACTTGGAGGCAGGCAGGAACTTGTGAGACCACTGGCAATTGCATCCCATGGTACACAGCCCAGTCCTAGAGCATCTGGGACGGAGAGCCTCACCCACAAACCTTGTTTTCTTTTTCTTTGCTTTTTTTTTTCCTTGAGGTGTCTCTTAGTCTTTCCCTTCTCCATATCCCTCCCATTCTTTCCTATATAAAAGAGAGGAAGAAAGTGAAGGAATCGGGAAACTTGGCAGGTCTGACCAGAGCCACCTCTGATTCCTTAAAGGTCACAATATGGCTGTAGCACCTCTACTCTGGCAAGGAGCCTGCGGTGGCTGAAGATGGCCCCTGGAGACTGGCAGATAGACAAGCGGGTAAGGTGGCACAAGATGAGGAATAAAAAATAAAATAATCCTACACATTTGGGGTGGCAAACAATGAGTAAATGGGCCCCAGATCTGGGCTTAGCGGTACAGGGTGCTGTGGGTAAAAAGGCTGAACCCTGAATACACGGCAAAGCAGAAGGTTAGCGATGAGGGGACACCAGGGAAAAGCCAAGAGCATGCCAGCTGCAGGTCAGCCGGCTCAGCTAGACCCAGGCCCAGCTCTTATCCCAGCCCCAGGCTGAAGAAGAAGGATGGAGAAACGGAACATAACCATGAGTTTGACCATGTGTCTTTATTTCCTGTCTCTGCCCTTTCACAGCATGAGGTCCAGTAGGGGCTGCTCTCCCAGAGAAGCCAGGCCTGGGTGGATTTGCTGGGACATGATGCCCAGTAGGGCACAGAGCACCCCCCAACTCAAGGCAGCCCGTTCCGTAGTGCACTGTTCAGACAGTTGTAGAGGTGGATATACTGCTCCTGAGGGGAGACATGGACAAGGTGTATCACCTGCTTGCCCAGATCTGACTGAGAAAGGCTCCCAAGGGTCTCCTAACCCCTACACCATCTGGAAAGGGCATGGGGGGGGGTTCCACAGAGCCACCTGGTGGTGACCTGAATGGGGTTACCAGAACCTTCCCATCTTTGAACCCTTTCCCAGTAAGCCCCCACCCCCACCCCGTTTGCTTCTCACCAGCGTTGGGGTCATGAGGCCACAGGCCTGTGACTGCTTCAGGGCCACATTGAAGACATCCACAGAGCACTCAGTCCCTGCTTGCTGTAGCAGCTGTTCCAGGGCCAAGAAGGTGCCCAGCTGATTTGTGCCCTTGCTGTAATTGACTAGAGTTAGACGTGGGACCTCTGGGAATGGGGCAGTGTCTGGAGACACGGGGAAACCAAATTTAGTTCCAAGAACTGGGAAAGAATGTTAGGTACTTAGTTTATCAGCCAATTAGAACCCTACCAAATCCCTGGGAATGGAGCAGAGAAGACAGGGGCCTTGGGAGACTACCCTTTGATCCACAACCCGAGTTAACGCATGCGCATGGCGTTTGTCGACAGCACCTGGAGTGGCTGAGCAGGGTCCCTGGCTTCTTGCTCTTGCTGCGGGAGCAGCACTGGCCCACAGCATTAAGGAAGGGCAGTAAGGTGGTAGCTGGGAGCTCGCACCCAGACTCCAAGAATGGAAACTGCAAGCCTTGAACCTGCCTCTCAATTCCACTCTCCCCCTGGAGCAAGGATAAGGTCAACATTAGTGCTGGGGAGGGTAGCGGGGCGGGGGCGGGGGCGGGGGAATCTCATCACCGTCTTCCCGCACTATGCCCTGTGGTCTCAGCACCTACATGTATGACTCTGAAGAGGGTACAGGGCCACCCAGCCGTGTTGCTCTCAGCCACTCTGTGCACCGTCACCATGCCTGTGACAACAGGCTGCATCTCCATCGGCCAGAAGTCTTGCTGCTGGAACCAAAGCAGGCCTCTCAGTCAGCTTCCAAGATCTCTGCCCATGCCGGGGGGTCAAACAATACCACATACTCCCCCTTCCTCTGTCCCACTCCTGGAGCCACACATCCTAGCCCTGGACCCCTCACCTTTTCTTTGGCATCAGGCAGGCCCAGGGAGACCAGCACGTGGGCGCCATGCTTCCACACCAGTTCCCAGAGCTCCTTCGGCCCTGCAGAGCCAGTCAGCACCACGTGGTCCCGACCGCACGGCCCACCCTGCAGATCACAGCTTGTTGGTTCCCAGGGATTAAGGTGTCTCCTGGACACCCCACTGCTTGCTCTTGCTGCGGGAACTCCTAGGACCCAGACCTTCTCCCCCACCCCCCACCCCCAGCCCCCGCCCAGAAAGCACTAAAGAACAGAGGGTCAGTGATAGGGTTACAAGATCAGCATCATCTCACGGGGAAGAGCCAGGATTCCAGCATGTTGTCAGTAGGGCTCTCCTCCACCAGGGAGATCTGAGAACGATCACCTGCGGAAGGATGGTGAGGGTTCAAGTGGTCTCCACTAGGCATTTGCTCCACCGCACCCAACAATTCACCCAGACTTACTCGGGACAACGCTGTTCTGATTATAGCCAGGAGGGGGCATCAGAGAGCCAGTCTTATACTTGATAGCCTGCTTCAGGAGCTGGGAAAGAGACGGCCAAGATGAAGTTGGCCAGGGAGGACTGACTGTGCCCCGTTGTCACTCACTCCTTGGCCCCAAGTGTACCTTGTACTCTTTCAAGAAACCAGCATTGGCATTGGCTGCTCTCTTGGCACAAGCTTGTGCAAAATTCAGCACAGAGATGGGGCCGGAGCTGGAGGAGGGAGAAGGGACTTG